TTTGGGGTTTTACCTCAAGGTCTGTGATCCACCTTGAGTTTATTCTTGTGCATGGAGTGAGGTAAGAGTCTTGATTTGATTTTTCTACAGGTAGATTCCATTTTTTCCAGCACCACTTATTGAAGAGAGCATGCACTTCCCATTTTATATTTTGTGGGCCCTTATCAAAAATCAGTTGTCTATATGCTGATGTTTTTATTTCTGTGTCTTCAGAGCATGTTTTCTATTATTTGTTAGAGAAGTAATGTGATTTAGATACATCTTATTGTTTATCCCTAGATAAGTCTGATAAATATGATCCACGTGATGTTGAAAGGCTGCAGCAAGATGATAACTGGGTTGAGAGCTACTTAATCTGGAGACACAATGTTGTAGATGAAACACTGAAGATGCTTGATGAAAGTTTTCAGTGGAGGAAAGACTTTGCTGTCAATGGTAAGTATGGCAGTTTATCTCCTGCCTAAATGTCACTTACCGTATGTACTCATGTACAAGTCGAGTTTTTGAGCACATTTTATGCCATTTTGTGGTAAAAATAGGTGCCTTGGCTGATATTCGGGTCAGCTTATACTCGAGTATATATGATATTTATATTCGTCTTTCAAATGTATCTGAGTATCTATTTGTAGATCATTCTGCCATTCAGCATAAACCCCACAATACAGATTTTCAAAAAGATCAAATAATGATTTCCAAGGTGCTTCCTGACAATAAGCCTCGCAAGTAGCATCACTCTACCCCATCACCAGAGAATACAGTCACATTCAGATTCACAGCCCAGCAGAGTTTTCCAACTTGGGTGTAGATCGTCAAGACCGTGAAAGGAGAAAAAGACAGCATCTGAGTAGACTTGGCCCTGAGTCATCCACCAGTGGAAGGCAACGCTGACTAGGCCTCTGCCACCCCCGAGATCAGTTATGGGTCATTGAGCCATGGGGTTTTCCTTGGCTGATTTTCAGAAATAGATTGCCAGGTTTCACGTCCTAATCTACCTTAGCTTGGAAGCTCCACTGAAGCCTCTCTGGCATCATAGCAACACCACTAATGATGGTGGTAGTTTTGCTTGAAGCGTATTTGCCCGAATCAAACCCAGGTCTTCAAGTTCATTGTGAGGATTCTACCACTGAACCACTATGCTCCCCTCAGGTCTAAAGAGAAGGAATTGCTTTTTTTCTGTTTGTCTTAGTTGTTGCCTAATGTCTTCCTCTTGTCCCAGATTATCTTGTGCTGATAGGTGCGCCAGATGCAGTTGCTAAATGAATGAGGGTTCCCCCTCAGGCCAAGATTATTCTCAATGATGTCGTTGGTAACCTTTTTTCTTCATGTCTTCATTTCCAGCCCGCCACTAGATGGAAATTTTCTCAAGGCACACCAGGGCTTCCATAGTGATTCTCCGACAGCCCTTTCTGTAATCTCATTATTTTTCAAAAACAGGAGTTTTAAATATTAAGGGATTCTAAAAAGTAAGAAGAAAGAATCCTAATGACCAATGTCCATTTGGCAGTGAGAAGGTTCCTTGACTCTGGTGATGGATTATTCACTCTGGATTGACTGAGTCTAGTGATTTAATACAAAATAATCAACAAATAAATTTACACTGGTGTTTCCCAAAGTGGACTATACAGGCCCCTGGACGGGGGCCAGAACAATCCAGAGGAGGCTGCAAGAGCAGATGCCTATACTTTATCTTGGATAATGGGCTACAGTACAAAAGTTTTTCATTGTCAGGGAGATGCTGATTCATTTTTTTATGAAGAGGGGTTAGTTGTAGGCTGAATAAGTTTGGGAACCTATGATCTACAGCATGTGACATGGATTATTTAAATAATTGGATTCACAATGTAAACACTAGACATGATTTCAGAAAACAGGGATACATTGCTTAATCAAGTCATAGATACCTGGCATTCCTGAATCATTATGTACAGACTAGACCATTAATCACCACAATCATGTTTTCCTTACATATAGTTGCTAGTTTCTGTTTGTTGAGGCAGCCTGGTGGTGCAGTTGTTGCAGTGCTCAGCTGCTCACTGAAAAGTCAGGGCTTTAAACCCACCAAGCACTGTGTGGAAGAAACATGAAAGAGTCTACTTCCATAAAGATGGCAGCCAGCCCATAGGGCAGTTGTACTCCCTCCTGTTGGGTCACTGTGAATCACAATCAACTCGAAGGCAATGGGCTTGGCTTGGTGTTTTCCTGGTAAACAGTGTAGATATGGAGAAGGAAAAAGACATTTTTTAAAAATCCTTGGGCAACTGCTAGTGAAGTAATTCAAAGCCATGACACTTAAGCTTTTGCTGACATCTGTATGTTGGTCCTCCACCTCTTTTGCAACCAGGCAGGCCTTTCCTTGTTATACCTGCTAAAGGGCGTATCCTTTTTTCTTTAATTGTTTTCCACTTGTCCCCAGGTTATAAAGTATCTTAGATTCTGCTGGACTTGGCGAAGTTTTTTTTCTAAAGAAAACACTAACACCCTTCCCCCCGTTAATTTAAAAGTGTGGATATTTACTTGTATGTTAACATGAAAAGCCCAGTGGGGATAATATTTGTAAGCCATTGTATGAAACACAACCAGGATTTGATTGCTGATATGTGTCCACGTAACATTTCTGCATTTCTTTTACTTGCATCTTTATATAAGTTTGTTTCTTTTTTATAAATCATTTTATTGGGGGCTTGTTCAACTCTTACCGCAATCCATACCTACTTCCATTGTGTCAAGCACATTTGTACATTTGTTGCCATCATCATTCTCAAAACATTTGCTTTCTGTTTGAGCCCTTGGTATCAGCTCCTCGTTTTTCCTCCTACCTTCCCATTCCCCACTCCCTCATGACCCTTGATAAATTACAAATTATTATTTTGTCGTATCTTACACTGTCTGATGTCTCCCTTCACCCATTTTTCTGTTTTTCCATCCCCTAGGGAGGAGATTATATATAGATCTTTGTAATCGGTTCCCCCTTTCCACCCCACCCTCTCTCCAACCACCCAGTATCGCCATTCTTGGCACTGGTCCTGAAGGGATCATCTGTGCTGGATTCCCTGTGTTTCCAGTTCCTATCTGTACCAGTGTACATCCTCTGGTCTAGCCAGATTTTTAAGGTAGAACTAGGATCATGATAGTGGGGTGAGGGGGGGAGCATTTAGAAACTAGAGGAAAGCTGTATGTTTCATCATTGCTACACTGCACCCTGACTGGCTCATCTCCTCCTCACAACCCTTTTGTAAGGGGATGTCCTGTTGCCTACAAGTGGGTCTTGGTCCCCGCTCTGCTCTCCGCCTCATTCACAATGATTTGATTTTTTTGTTCTTTGATGCCTGATCCCTTTGACACCTCGTGATCACACAAGCTGGTGTGCTTCTTCCATGGGGGCTTTGTTGCTTCTGAGCTAGATAGCCGCTTGTTTACCTTCAAGCCTTTAAGATCCCAGATTCTATATCTTTTGATAGCCAGACACCATTACCTTTCTTCACCACATTTGCTTATGCACCTGTTTGTCTTCAGCGATCGTATCAGGGAGGTGAGCACACAATGATAGGATTTTTTGTTTTGTGATGCCTGATAACTGATCCCTTCGGCACCTCATGATCACACAGGCTTGTGTGCTTCTTCCATGTTTCTAATTGCCAAAAGTTCTTCCCAGATGTTTGACGATGCGTTCCCTTTTTTTATTTTTCATATCAAAACCACTATCTAATATTACCTTACTATTGCAAGTGTTCTTTTGAAGTCCCTCAATTCCAATTACTGACCAAAGCTCATCACTTTCAGACCTGAATGAATCCTCCGTTTCTAGACGGTTATTGGAAATTGGTGGTATTTACCTCCATGGTTATGACAAAGAAGGCAACAAACTGTGTAAGTATATTTAATTAATATGTACTGGCTTTTCAAAACTTTGACATATAGATAACTAGCTCACCTGGATTAATGATAAGCAGAATTGCCTTTCTCTAAATGTAGTGCTTATCAAGTTCCTTACAATTGAGCGTCATTAGAGCAGTCTTGACCAATAACGAATCTCTAGTAGTAATTTATCTTGTTTCGAACATGTGAGTAAAGAAAGCAAATAACAAAGCAGAGTAAAGGAAAAAAAATAACAAGGCAAAATAAAGGCAAATAACAGCATAGCCAAAACTCAATGAAGTTAGAATTGCTGTCTTTTTTAAGTTGGCTGATTTTGAAATTCTGCCCAGGTTTTTTATGGAAAAGCATTTGGACGGTTGCTAAATGGACTTTGGTCCTTTGTAATTGTCCCACTGTTTTCCCTTCAGCATCTTCCTCAGTGTGTCTGATAGTGAGGGACCCTTAGTGCTTATCTCTATGGGTCAGATAACTCCCTTGGCCCAAATCACACTTGCTTCTTTGCGAAGGCTATGGCAGGAGAGCCATAATCCCAAGCTGAGCCAAGGCTTGGACAGAGGTTTGTACAAAGCCTTCACTGCTCTGGTCCTCTGTGTAGCGTCTGCGTTGTTCCTGTTTGGACAGTAAACCTTCTCTTTGCTTTCCTCTGATCCCCAGCTCCTCCCTCTCATACTTCCCTTCTCATTCCTCAGGCTCCACTTGTCCTTTAAATAGGAATCCCTTCCTTCCCTTAGACACTTTTAGGTTTCAGTTGGGACTGTCTCCTTGGTACTGCAGGATGATGATCTCATACTAACTCCAAGCAGAGTGCACACAGCTGGCTCTCTGGTGACGACCTGACTCTCCTCTACCTCATGTGCTTCTCCCTATCCCAGGCCCACCACAGAGGGACAGCAGGTGTTCATTGTTGACTTTTCCCTCTAACCTAGTCTAAATGTTGCCCCTTCTTCATTTTCAACAGCCACTTGCTATGGTCATTGCCTCGTCACCTCACATCCACCACCTGCCCCCTCTTCTCGACCTCTTCCAGGCTCTTCTCCCAGCCACTGCCAGAGAGATCCTATGCCACCCCACCTCTTGAAATCATGAAGTGGCATCACATCTCTTTTAAGAAAATCAAGGCACCTTAGCATTTTATTGAGAGGCCTGCCTAGCCAGCCCTTCTCTCTAGGTAGTGGCTCCCACCCGTTCGGTGTCAGTGGCCAGTAGGCTGGACAGTTTGCAATTGTCCATGCACGTGGTTGACAGTCCCCGACCCCCACCTTTTTCCAGGTGGAGCATTATTTCTAGGATTCGACCATCACAATGGCTTCTTTGTCAATAATCAGAATAAAAAGTACTTTCAGATTTGTAGCAAAGGCTATGTGTTCAATTGCATTTTCTTGTTCTCGTACTAGTAATGTAGGTATATTTCTTAGTGTGGGGGGGGGGGACCAGAAAGGCCCCTACTTTCTGATTCCTCCCTAATTTAAACTTCCCATGTACTCCCTCTTTCTCATTTACAAGAAGCAAGAGATGTTTTTAATCTGAGAAGTTAAATGAAGAGGAATATCAAGGTGAAGGTTTTATATACAAGGGCACTGTAAAGGATCCTTGGAAAAATTCCACTATCTTTTCATACCATTTATTTCTATGAACATGTTGGAGCCCTCCTCGTATGTTTGCCCTATTGTTGCACAAATAATGTACACCTTTTACGTGTGTTTGCCAACCACATCTTCGCTCCTTGAGGCATTTTCATCATAAGTACCGCTATGCCAAATTTTTTCTCATATTGCTATAAAAACAATAACCTAACACACTTACAAAAATACAGGGATGGGTATGCTTAGCAAACGAATGAAGAAGGCATGCATTATTTGTGTAAAATCTGATATAGCTGTGAGAGCCCCTGGTGCTACAAGGGTTAAGCTCCGCTACTAACCTAATGGTCAGTGGTTCGAATCTATCAGCCACATTCAGGAAGAAAGTTGAGGCAGTCTGCCTCCATAAAGATTTACAACATTTTTTAACAATTATACAATCATGCGTGATCTAATTGAACTATGGATTGTTCTGTTATCTATAGAGCTCCCAATAAAATGGAAGAAAATTCTCCTTTGTCCTATAGTGTCCCTAAGAGTTGTAATCAGCACTACTGTAAAAGGTTAGCTATGTGCACAAGTGCCTAAAGGTCATAGTCCTGAAAGGCCTATGGCACAGTTCTCTCTACCCCAATGGGGGTACCATGTCAGAATCAACTTGATGGTGACTAACAATAATAATATATATGTATGTCTACATACCCCACATGAGGGGACTTCAAAAGGTCCAGGGAGAAGTGGAATGAAGAGATCATGGAATTTTTCCACAAACTTTGATATTTCTCTCATATATAAATTACTTCTTATTCTTACCTTCTTTTTCTTTTAATCTTCTGTTCTCTTCAAGTCTGGATCAAGGTGAAGTACCACGTAAAAGACAACAAAACTGCATTGGACAAAAAGAAACTTATAGCATTTTGGTTGGAACGTTACGCTAAAAGAGAAAGCGGGAAACCTCTTACAGTGATGTTTGACCTGTCAGAGACTGGACTGAATAACATAGTAAGCATTTTTCATTGGCATCATCATTGTCATTCTAAATCAGTGTTTGCCATGGCATCCTCTTCTTTTTGTCTTCTCTTTTACCCTCAAACTAATTATCTGTATGGAATTGAGGTGACTAACTTGTTGTGTTAGTCTAGGTGGACTAGACGAACAAATTCATAGATGATCATATGTGTATAAGAAAGAGCTTTATGTACAAGAGCAATTGAATATTGAGAAAACGTCCCAGTCCAGTCCAGATCAAGTCCATAAGTTTGATATTAGCCCATATGTCCGATACCAGTTCATAAATTCCTCTCCAGACCCACGAAACACATGCAATGATGCCTAATGCAGGAAGATCACAGGCCAGTGGGTGGAAATTCTTGTGGATACAGTGGCTGTAGAGGTATCTCAGCACTGGCAGGCATCTCCGTGTGGCTCCTTCAGCTCCAGGGCTCTAGCATAGTTCAATGTTTCTTGTCAACAGGGATATCTTGCAGAGTGACCTGGGGTCCCACCTCCAGGGAGCTATTTATCTCCTTAGCTTCTCCAAATGAGGTCATCAAACTGCATCCTGATTGACAGGCTAACCTCCACCCCTTCATTCATAAATCTCACATTGACAACAGATTATGTAACTACCACACTTATGTTTGGGATTGATTACCCAGCCTATCCCAATTGTAATTAAATGGAAGAAGATTTCAAAGAATTTGATCATCATGTATCAGTATTTGGCATCGATGGTGTGGATTTTCGAGCCATGTTCTGGGCCTAATTACACAGAGTATAAAGGGAAGACGTCTAGGCTAGCAGAGTAATCAGTGGGTGATCACAGAAAACTTGGTATAGAGTTTATTAACCTCACAGCCCCCCTCCCACCTTGTGCTTGGCACAAAGTAATCCACTCAATAAATGTTGAATAAATCCATGCCGGGTCTCTGTAAATGCATGCCATATTTTACAGTTGTAAACTGTTTACATGAGTTTGACACATATAGAGCTTTGAGATGTTGTGGATGATGTGTGTGTGTGTGTGTGTATTTGGGTTTTTTTTGTTTGTTTGCTTGGTTTGATTAACTTAAAGCCAGCTCTACTTCCAGTGACTGTCCAGCTTAAAAAAAGAAATAAAACCTATTGCTTTCAGGTGGCCTTTCTAGTCATGGTCTTATAACACCTACTAAATGATTGGGTGGACCTATGCAAATAATGTACTTGTGGTCTACCAAAGGGATTGGACAACTTGCTAGTAATGCGCATAAGGCTGACAGTGCCCCTGTGGGTGTGACCATGCAAATAAGAGGTAAAGAACCCTAATGAGGTGATTGGTTAGTTTTGCCATCCTGCTAGGCATAAAAGAGAGGCATGCCATAGCAGAGGGGGAAGCTCACTACCACCAAAAGGAGATGTAAGCAAAGTATATCCTTTGAACCCAAGGTCCCTGCACTGAGAACCTACTAGACGCAAGGGATAGCTATAACAGTAAAGTTAGTGAGAAGCAATGGCAGAGAAACAGGCAGAAGACACAGATTTCAGGCCAAGGTTTACTGGCAGAACAGATTGCCTCCAGATGCTTGGTTGAGCTAGGCCCCTTGAACTACAGAGCAAAAGAGCTGAGTGCCATCCGACAAGAAGCTTGCTGACAAAGCAGGGTGCCTCCAGGTACTTGTCAACTGAGCTAGGCTTGCCAATTCAAGAGTGAGAGAGCTGAGTGCTTTTGGACAAGAGGCTTACTGACAAAATAAGGTGCCTTTGGGCACTTATCAGTGGAGCTAAAGGACTTTGTAATACTTGCTAAAGTAAAGGAGAGGCCAGGCTGGCCTAAGAGGCCTGAGGGGCCAAGAGCCAAGAGGCTAAAGGCCAGGGAGAGGCCTGCCTGGCCAATGAACTGTATCCTAAATCTTTCCTGATCCTGCCTTGTGGCTTGTTATTGCACTAAAAAGCACAACTTTGTAAGTTTGATCTGTAAGTTATGTTTGGTGAACCCAGCAGAGAAGTAAAAAGTGCCTTGGTAGAGACTACCAGTGTCAGAATTGGTAAAAAGGTTGGAGAAAGGAGGCATGTCTGAGTTTTGTCTCATAAGAATCTGCCTTGGGCTGATGCTGATTGTGACTCTCCTCCCTCATGAAGTTAGAGGCCATCAGACTCCCCTTACACTACGATCGTTATCCTACTGGATCTTAATTGGACGCTTGCAACTTTAGTAAGGTCCTCAGGTGGTGCACACGGTTTGTGCTTGGCTACTAACTTAGGTTGGCAGTCTAAACCCAACCAAGGGGCATATGGCAAAAAGGCCTAGAAATCTGCTTCCATAAAAATGATAATCAAGAAAACTCCATAACCCATAGGGTTGCATGCCATGCATTGGCATTGACTTGATGGCAACAGGATTTTGGTTTGGTGACCTTAGTCACTCAGGAGTTAACTACTTCCAGTACCAACTGAGGCCATTTGACACAGATTATAGCTGTCAGCATCTCTTATCTTTTGACTTTTGCAAATTCTGTTAGGACTCAAGGAGGCATTCACAGACTCGCAAAACACAGTGTAGAGACCTTTTGAAAGCCCATTTCGTGAAGTATTTATACTCTGCCTCGTAACTAATTTCTAGAGATCCGTTCTAAAGAAAGAAGTCTTGAGTAGAGAAACAACATTGTGTGGAACATTTTTCAGGGCCATATAAAATAATAAAAGATGCGTAAAAGTGTTTATGTTCAACACAATAAAATTAGGTATATTTAGCTGACGGAATATGTGTAGTTATGTAAGAAGGTATTTAAATTTTGTAATAATAGAAAGTGTTTTTATGTTTTAATGAAAACTACAAAATTATATTAGGGGGCTTCAAAAATTCATGGAATATTTCCATTATCTTTTTATTCCATTTTGCCACAAACTTTGTATCAAAGTGATACATAGTCCCCCAAATGAAACCTTAAGCATGAAAGAATGACCACAGAGAAGAGTTAACTAGAGTCTTTCCTGAGTGCTGAAACCACAGGTTCTTTTGTTAGTCATCTTTTTCTTTCTTTTTTAAGAGTCCAAGGCTCTGAATTATTTCAACATAATTCCTGTGCGTTTCAGATTGCAAAGTAATCACTTTATGTATACCCAAAGTCTAAATGCCTAGATAAGGAAATATTAGTGTAGAAAGGTATCAACTTCCATAAAAACAAATCATGATTTTTATCCTTTGGATATGGCCATTTTCTAAGTATCAACCCAGAATCACGCAAATAAATGGCAGTGTTTATTATTGCCAAATATAGGGGGAGAGAATCAGCTTGAGCTGTCTTTTTTTCAGCTGCTAATTTGGACCCTTGAAAGTTTAGTAATGTCCTCGGGTGGTGCACACAGTTTGCGCTTGGCCACTAACTTTGAAAATAATGTTTATTTGCACTGTTGTCAGTTGCATTCCCCCAAATATTTAAATCCTCAGCATTGTGAAATACTTGAATCTTGCTGAATTTGTATATATTTTATAAGATAATTTTCATATAGAACCTTACCATGATTCACAAAGATTTCAGTCTGCTTGGGAAGATGTAGGCAGAATTTCAAGGTTAAAATAACCCAACAAAATTGTTTTACAAAAGCATCTGTTAGACTCTAACCTTTCCAGCTGCTTGCCTGGAGGAAAGGCAGTTACTGAAATTACTCAGTAGTTGTCCAGTAGAATCAGAGTTTTAGGAGAAGTAAATCTCTTCCTAATATTCAAACTAGAGAAAAATGTCTCTCATGGGTCCTCAAAGAAGACATTTTATAAGCGAGTGAACGATGTCCTCCAACATCCTTCTAGAATGCAGGGAGCCATGGGTTTCATAGAGCTACTTCATGCATCCTATCAATGTCTCTCAGATCACCAGTCACTTGAGATTGTATGAGCAGGAATAGTCCATTTCATAAAAGATGAAAGCAAGGCTATTGAAACAAAGAGTTTTCAAGCATTATTATAAACTGGTGAAACCCAAATTTGGCCATACCTCTAGTCATTTTCAGATATTTTCTTTGACTTATTAACTACAGTCTATTGAACTTTTGCGACAGTGGAAAGAATGATTCATTCTAAGGTGTAATTAGATACTGAGGTTTATCTCATATAATAAGTACTTAAAATGGGTATTGACGCTTACTTGCAGTTTACTATAGTTAGAGATGCTGCAGCTCACACATTGGGGATGAATTTATTGGTTCTCATCTCCAAAACAACCCACCTCTCACACATTGTGATGGATCTAAGTTTGCTTGGTTATGTCAGAACCCACAGTTTTTATAAGGTGGCTGATCAGGATTTAGCAAACCAGGCTGTGACCATGAAATAAAAGGCAATGAAACCATCCGTGTGAACACAGCCGAGACTCAGTCTGATTTCATGTTGCTATGGTCACCATGAGTTGGGATTGGTTCAGCAGCACACATCACACACAGAAATAAGCAAAGAATATGCTCAAAGCAGTAGAACTACCTGTGTATACTGTGTCACCCACAAATTGGAATAGGCACACTTTACCACTTGAATGAATAATATAACCTAGAAAATAGATTCTAGTCCCTACACAAAAAGATTTAGGATGCCAGGAGTGAAGTAAATACTGCAAGTGGTCACATTAACAGTTGTGTGAAAGGTGGGTGAAATGAATTTTATTGACACTGTCATGAGGTATAAAAATTAAGTATACCAGCCTTTATATACTTATGTGATATCCTTCCAAATAGTTTGCTTGTAAACTGTACATTTGTTTCAGTAATTTTTTAATTGCTCAATAGATTTTGAGAATTTCTCTATGGAGAGTGCTGTTAGATCCATTTTATAATGCCACTGTGCCTTAGTCACCTGAAACATGTGACTAGTTTGAGGTAATGTGAATGATGCTAAAATAACACCAAGCTATCTGATTCCTTTAGCTTATTATAGGAGCTCAGTGACGTAAACCCTTAATCCTGGAGAGATGTTTCTATATGAGCTAATTTTTTTAAATACTTAGTCATTGTCTTATTTAGATGTAATGTATCACCTTTATAAAATGTACTATTTAAAGCTGTTTAATCTGGATAATCTGAATTTTTTTGAACATATAATCTTTATTTTAGGACATGGATTTTGTACGATTTATCATCAACTGCTTTAAGGTTTATTATCCTAAATACCTCTGTAAGTAAATTACTCTTTTATAAAAGTAAAGCATCTAGACTGTGGGCAATGTTAGAGAATTGTGGAACCATGTTTTATTTTGGACTTTTATGCCTGAAACATCGTTTTCTGATGAAGTGCTTTAAGTATGTTCAATAGAAATTTAAGTATAGCCCTTACAAGGAAAATTCTTGCAGTTAATTTTAAAACTCTTAAGTTTTAAATTACATACATGGCATGCTATAACACGCACATACACGTACAGGGACACAAAACTATACCTGCTTGAGAAGAACCCTATTTTATGAATCTGAAATTTTGTTTATTTAAATAATATTATATGGAACATCTTGGGTAGAAGAACAGGTAGGCGGTGTTGGTAAATAAAGTACAGTAGGATAAGCAGTAGCAACATGCTATGCTGTTACTAATTGCTATTTTAAGAGTTGCCATTAAGAAAGCACTTGGCTAGAAAGAAGGTTGTACTACATTTGAACCTGGCATTTGGCGTTTGCTTTTTAGTGTTTTGTTTTATTAATTGTGACTCTTCCCTTAATTACCTGAAAGAAGAACTCCTAAGCATTATGTGTTCAATTTGCAGTTGTTGGATTTCTATGATGATTATCCCCTGGAGAAATCAGTGTGCCACCCCACATAGACAGTCAAATATATTTAACCCTAATGGGTGGAAAGTGAAAAGACAGAAGGGAGATAATAGAGACGTCAGAAAATGGAAAAGTTGCTGGTTGACTTGGGCAAACCCTGGTGGATACCACCACTAGGGTCTTTTGTGACCCCGGGACTCAGGTGATGACACTAAAGTTAAAATCCCCAAATCCTCACACTTTGGGCTTACTGTCACATTGTTAACATAAACACTGAGTGAGGAGCAAACAGAAAAGCATGGTACATCTCTATGGTCAGTGTCACCTCCCTTTAGAGAGGATTAGGATTGATGAATGGTTTTAGGGGAAGAGAATGGCCAAGGTAACCAACATTCAATCTAGGGTGCCGTAGGCTCTGCTGTTCCTTATGAATTGTTCTTAGGTGGCACGGACCCAGATTCATTAAGGCATGTTGAGCAGTGGCAGGTAGTCAGGAGGGAATTACTACTCCATATTCGTAGTGTTTTTCTTCTCTACAATATGACAACATCAGCTGCTTGTTGAAATATCGAAAGGACCTTGGGATGAAACACTAAATTGTAATAAATATCATGATTATCAAACACATCCATGACCCTTTGAAAAAAACTATTTGTGAAGTCATGGATCAATAAAAAGTGAATTGGAACGCTGTTCATTTCGATCGCTGTTGTCAGGTGCTGTGCAGTCAGTCAGTTCTAACTCCCAGTAACCCTTATACAACAGAACACTCCACTGCCCCACCCCGTACCATCCGCACAGTCATTGTTCTGCTTGACTCTATTGTTGCAATTGTTGTAGCCACTGTGTCACTCCATCTTCTGATGGGTCTTATTTCTGGTTGCCCCTCTACTTCGCCAAGTACAGTGTCCTTCTCCAGTGACTGGTCCCTCCTGATAGCATATCCAAAGTACATGAGATGGAGTATCACTCTCCTCTCTTCTGTGGAACATTCTGGCTATACTTCTGCCAAAATATACATTTTGTTCTTTCAGTCTTTTGGTAGTCCACAATATATTTGGTATTCTTCATTAACACTGTAATCTCAAGGAACTAAAATTAATTCCCCTTACATATTGGATTTTTGCAGCCAGTGAATTTTGCTTAATCTTCTGTTGTTCAAAATATGTCATGATATGTAAATATTATATAGTAAAATCGTGAGCTTAGGTTTTTTTAGGCATAGCTCAGGTGAAGACTAGGAAGGTACTTCTTTGCTCTTGGTGTGTGTCATTACATGCACAAACAGGCCCAGACTTATGTACAGCTTGTAGTTACAAATGAACCTTCATAAAGCCCATTATAAATACAAACTTGTGGTATAAACAATGGCTTGTAATAATGAGTGCTACTTTGTAATGTGCATCAAAACATTATAATTACTATATTACTGTAGTAAAGATGCTTTAGTGTATCTGGAATTAATTCTTTAATGTCTTTTAATGCATAGAAAGGTACACTATATTAAGACAAACATTTGTCTAGCTGGCATTCGATATGAACCATATGCAGCAGTTCCAACTGTACAAAAACTTTGATTCAAAGACTTAGGTATACAACTTTGCTCATAATCCATGAATGGCCTGTGCTTGACTTGTCCTACCTGAATATAAGCACTCTAGGACAGGGGTTCTCAACCTGGGGGTTGTGACTCCTTTGGGGGTTGAACTACCCTTTCACAGGGGTCACCCGATTCATCACAGTAGCAAAAAGACAGTTATAAAGTAGCAACAAAAAATCATTTTGTGGTTGGGGGGGCGGTCACCACCACATGAGGAACTGTATTAATGGGTCGGAGCCTTAGGAAGCTTCAGAACCACTGCTCTAGGAGGTTCTCTGTTCAGAGAAGAGTAAAATTACATTTTGATTCATCTGGAGTAGGAGAATGAATGAGATGTCAAAAATCTCTGATTTCTCACTCTTATAGTTGTTAACAGGGCTGTTTAATATCTTCATCTCACTGTGTAAATAATACTTCCATATACTTTGGCATTATTGGCTTCCTGGAGCTCATAATTTTAAGAAAAGTAGAACTAAAGCACACTGAGTCATTTATTAAAAGTGAGGGGATGGGGCAACTGTAAGACTAGTTTAACAGTATCCCTGAAAAATTCTATTTGAGGCTATAAATTAGCCTTGGTAATCATTGTTAACATTTGTTGACCTTCAGCAGTAACATGTCGTGCCACATCGGAAGACGCCACTTGCCCTCTCCGCTGTCTTCTTTCATACCGCTTTGCAAACAAAAGCAGTATATTTAACAGACTGTTTTTCAAAGGCCAATGATAATATTCATTTTCCGTAAGCAGTCGTCTTGACGGAGGGAGAGGAGGGGGTGGGCCTGACCATTTCTGAAATGTTAGTTCTCTGCCTGAATTCAGTCGCACCACCCAGTGTTTAGCTTAGTTACATCCAGGTGCTCCATTTTTCTAGTAACTGAAATAGTATTTAAATAACTTAACTGAAATATCATTTCATTAACGTAAAAACCAATTTTTAAGTCACATTCAGTGAATGTTTTTTTTTTCTTTTAGCAAAACTGGTCATCTTTGATATGCCTTGGATAATGAATGGTGAGTTTATTGTTCATACTTTCCTAAAAGAAAGTGTTTTCCTTTGCTAATCTAAATGTGTTTCTGCATTAAAAAACCAGTTATCTCACACTCAGTTTGCACGATAGAATCTGGAACTAGAATAGTGAAAGGCTAGTCCTAGGAAAACCTAGTTAATCTTCCCTCCTCGGTCTCAAGGTACTTGCTAGTGTTCTCTAAGTACAGCCTCAAAATATCAACCACTGAGCTAACACTATGACAAGAAAGCTGTTTGTCACCCACAGTCAGGATATGTCATAAAACACAGACTTGGGCCTGGGTGAGATTTTTCTCCTGGGCTTCAGGTGTTGAGGTGGGTCATTGAATCTGAAATTCACCCCAAATTACTAGTCAAATTCCCCTTAGGATAGTCGTGGTATATTTTAACAACACCAAAATAGTCATTGGAACACACTTGACCAATTTTAATGTGATTTGTGAGTTGAATGTTCTATTCAGAGTGGCATTTTCATGTTTGTTTACATGAGTCACTTGTTAAATTGAAAAAATGATCAATGCATCTAAAAGATAGCTCTTTGCAAAGATCAACAAAATAGACAAACTGACCAAGGGAAGAAAAGACGACTTGTTACTAAAATCAGAAATGCAGCAACATTTTTTTTTTGTAAATATGAAATGGATTATAAAGTAATACTCTGAACCATTGGACACCAACAAAGGAGATAAGTTTCCAGAAACACACAAATTTCCAAAGCCGACTCATAAAGAAATAGAGAATCTCAACAGATTATAACCAGTGAAGATGTCATCAGAAAAATTTCAACAAAGAAACATCTTGGCCCAGTTGGCTTCTCTGGTGAATTCTCCCAGTTGTTTAGAGAGAGAAAAAAATAGAGAGCCTTCTTAGGACTGTTCCAAAAATTAGAAGAGAAATGTAAATAAATATGCGTTATAAAAATATAATAAGAAGAGGAGAGGGAACACTTCCTAGAATGTATCCTATGATACCACAAGTGCCCTATTATCAAAACCAGACACAGCATCAGGAAAGTTAGTTAAACATTAGTATCCCTTATGAACATTATCAGCTACTAATGGGAACAGGCCAGGTATCCACTGATTGATGAATATCCATATTGAAGAGTATTACTCAGCCATAAAAATAACAGTAACATGATGACCCTTTAAAGCAATGGTTCTCAACCTTCCTCATGCCACAACCCTTTAATACAGTTCCTTATATGGTAACCCTCCACCCACAGTTATTTTCATTGCTACTTCCTAACTCTCATTTTGCTACTGTTATGAATCGGGCAACCCCTGTGAAAGGCTTGTTCTACCCCCAGAGGGGTCACAACCCACAGGTTGAGAACTGCTGCTTTAAAGCATGTGACACGAGCGAAACCAGTTAGAAGAAGTCACATGCTCGTATTACATAATTCTATGTTAGGGAATGTTGAGAATAGTCAAATCTGTCGATACAGTACGTAGATTAGTGGTTGCCAAGGCCTGGGGTGAAGTGAGTATAGAAAGTGATTGTATAATGGGTACAAGATTTCTTTTCAGAAAATGTTCTGGAACTAACTAGTGGTGATGAATGTTGAACTTTGTAATATACTAGAAGCAATCATATACTGGAAAGGGGTCACTTTTATAGAATGTGAATTATGCTTCCCTAAAACTGTTATTAAAAAGTCCATTTTTAGTAGTTATTCAAGTAGCATAGCCTCAAACACAAACTTTTGAAAGGAAAAATTTAATGATTTATTTAAAAATATATAAAGTGTACTTAGATATAATCTCCTGATTTGTCATGCTATTTTACTTCCTGGAATTGTTTTCATGGACATGTTTTGCCCATGTAATACTTTTTTTTTGTTTTAGTTTCTTTGCACTCTTTAGAATAAAAAAAACAAAGCCTGACCGGTTGTCACTGAGTCGAATCCAACTCATGATAACCTCTTGTGGGTCAGAATAAAACTACTCCATCAGGTTTTCAGTGGCTGAATTTTGGAAAGTAGATTGCCAGGCCTTTCTTCCCAGGGCCTCAGGGTGGATTCGAACCACCAGCCTTCCAGTTAGCAGTGAACACCACTCAAACCTATTTGCACCATCCAGGGACTCTGTGCTTAGAATGTTATGGTGCATCTAAGGTTTAAAATATTAAGTATACATATGAAATGGCATGACAAAATGAGATGGAACTACCAAACGATTCCATTTATATAATTTATTTCCACCCATCCCTAGATTCCCAACAGTTAAGTACATGGCAACGCCTGTGGGAAAGATAGCTAGCATTTGTGTTTAGGAAGAAAAGCTGAGAGGTTGGTGCCCTGGCCTCCAGGTAGCTCAGAGTTGCTTCCTCCTCTGCTAGTCCTCCCCACTTGAGTCACTTATTTCCGATTGGGGGCAGGTGGGGCGCAGGACTGCTAGAACTCCCAAGTAGGAGTCAGTAACTTTTTCCAAATGAGTCTGCAGTCAGTTTCCCAAATCACCCTGCAGTTAGACTTAGATCCTGGAAATGTTAGTAGTTGGGATCATCAGTCAGTGGTTTTGTTCAGAGACCAAAGGCTTGATGAGTTTATTAATGTGCATCAAGTCCATTTACCCCTTCTGAGTCTTTCAGGAACATTCAGAACCTATGAAGGACAGGGGCATTGTAAACGCCTGCAAGTTCTAGAACAGCAATTCTCAACCTGTGGGTTGCAACCCCTTTGGGGGTCGAACAACCTTTTCACAGGGGTTGCCCAATTCATAACAGTAGCAAAATTACAGTTATGAAGTAGCAACTGTAATAATTTTATGGTTGGGGGGGGTCACCACATCATGAGGAACTGTAGTAAAGGGTCACAGCCTTAGGAAGGTTGAGAACCACTGGTCTAGAATGTTATTGAAGTATCACACACTATTTTAAGATCAGTCTAACCAGATGCAAGCCCAAAGAAATTTCCGCAGACCTAAGTGAGCAGGAGCCACAGACCCACCAAGAAAGAGAATGAAAATAATTTAGTAAGAAATTGAAAAATTGAATGAAGTCACTGTTTTTCCTTCAGCTGCTTTCAAACTTGTGAAAACCTGGCTGGGGCCAGAAGCCATGAGTCTGTTGAAGTTTACAACGAAAAATGAAGTCCAGGAGTATGTCAGTGTAGAATACCTGCCTCCCCACATGGGCGGAACTGTAAGTATAGTATATCCGAAACTTGTTTCAAAAGGCATTGAGTAATGGCGCCTTAAGTACTCATTTCTTCAAGAAAAAAGACAAGTAGTGTCATAACTTCCAAAGATATGTCATAGATAGATACCCTAAGTAGCAAGGCATGTCATAGGCATTGAAACTTTAACACGATTAGTTTTTCATTATGTTTGGATAGGTAGTGTCTTTCCATGATTTGAAAATGAAAAGGTATTAAAAGGCATCCAGTGAGATGTCTCTCTCCCACTTCTGTCCCCAACTACTCCATTGTCCTCACCAGTTGCATTTCTTCTGTTTATCTCCCGGGATGTGTAGATGTGTTGATGATGTAAACAAGCAAGTATATATAAATCATCCATCTCTTTTAAGCAGGTAGTGTACATAGCGTACGCACTACCGTACCACCTGCTGTTTTTCTTCACTTGTCTTGGAAATCATTGTGTGCAGAGCTTCTTCCTCTCTGGCTCATGGCTGCCTAGAATACAGGTGACGTAGTGGTCATGAGTTAGGCTGCTAACCACAAGGTTGGCAGTTAAAAATCACCAGCCATTCCTTGGGAGAAAGACGATGCTTTCTATTCCTGTAGAGTTAGTGTCTCGGAAACCCATAGGAATAGCTCCACCCTGTTCTACAGGGTCACCATGAATAGGCGTCGACTCCATTGGCAATGAGTGAGCACCCCAGCGACCAAGGCTGAACTCTTGAGCCATTTCATTTCCTTTTGATGTGTCTTTGGTCTGTTTCCACTTATTTGCTGGCAGGCAATCTTTTCATTTTAAAAGGTACTGTTAACTAGATACAATAAAAACTGTTACCACATATTTACTACTTACAAATAGAGAGACCTGGATTAAGTTGACACATGCTAATATTCTAATGTTACCTAACAGTGACGTTATTGTGGTAATGACTTTATATATATATAAACTGTGAAACCTATGGATTTTGTATGCTGTGGTTAACTTGGTGGATAATATTTCAAATATTTGATTGTTACAATCTACTTTGTATACTGCTGGCCTGGCAAAATTATATTCATCCTAACAAGATGAAAAGTTTTGATATGTCCTTTTGTTTTTTGTTTGTTTCTTTTGACTAGAGAAAAACTCAAGCTAATATTTTTAACTCAACGTTTGTTACTTTTCTATCCTGAGGCTTTCTGCTTTCACTGTTTACCCTAGAAAGACATACTGTGTCCGTGCAAGTACTACCCTTAGGTAAAATAGCAATTTGATTTGACTTGCCATTTTCAATAATCTGTCCGTAGAATTGTTGTAATGTAAATTGAACAGCATTTAGTGATTTGTATTTTCCTGTGTAAAAGTGTTTTTGTTATTTCTCTTCTCTGCCATTAGTAGACTATTTCTTCATAATTATAATTGAATTTGTAGCAGAGACATTCTCTGTTTAACATTTTAAAAGTTTTTTTCTCAAAAGAAACATCCACATGAACATACTGATTCATATAGGTCTCCTTGTTTTAAAACTGCTGTAGCATATTCCAGTATATGGGTGTCATATGATTTCATTGGTTTTTCTCTGAAAGCTCTTTATTTGCTTCCTAGTTTTTATTCATTATTAATAGCACTGCAGTGACTGTTCTTGGAAATAACTCTTGAATACACGGGTGTAGCAAGTGTAAGTAGAGGCTAGACTCCTAGATGTAAGAATCGTGGGTCCATAGAGACAACTTAGTTTGAAATTCTGATGGCTGTTGCCAGGTTACCTCCAATGAGATTTTCTTTTTCAGTGATCGCTTTACCCCTTGAGCTGTTAGTCTGCTTCTTGGTGGTTTCCCTGTTTACAGAAGTCTTTTGTGTCCATTATGCATTGTAAATATTTTCCCAGTTGAGGCCTTTTTCCATGTGGTCTGTTCTTAACACGTGTTTTGTTTTTGTCAGTTGTATCGGTTGGCTATTATCTGGGTTTGTGCCATTCAGAAATGTTTCATTTTTTAGCTAGCATATAATTTCTGGTCAGTATTTCTGTAATGGCTTCTATTATGTTTGTACTATGTTTTGTAAGCCCTTCCCTACTTCAGCATTCTGTTTGTAAATTTCTCTCTGTGGTTTTCTGGAACTTACCAGGCTTTCTCTTTCTCTCTCTCTCCCTCCCTCCCTCTTTGTCATGTTAACTTTCACTATGAAATAAAATCTGTTTTTGTGACCCAAGAACTGAATTCACAGTTCATTAAGAGGATAATTTCTCTTATCTACCTCTTATCAGGTTGTGAGACAAATGGGTTTTTTTTTTAGGATCCTTTCAAGTATAGCTACCCACCACTGGTTGATGATGACTTCCAGACCCCATTGTGTGAAAACGGGCCTGTTGCCAGTGAGGATGAAGCTTCCAGTAAAGAAGATATAGAAAGTGATGGGAAAGAAACCTTGGAAACAATTTTGAATGACGAACCACCAGCTCCTGTGAAAAAGGTGATTCAAGGCATGAAAGGAAATTGAGTCCAAAGTTGGAGTCTAGCCCCAGCCCTGCCTGGAGTGGCTGTGGCCCTGAACTCAATCCCCTTTGGCATCTTTCAATGTCAGAAAAAGAGGAAGGATGGGACTCACTATATGAAAGGCCCATTTCATACTTTTGTAAAAAGATTGGCAAAAATGTATCTAGAAGGAATTATTCTATCACAAATATCTAAATTGATTGTTTTAAAACTGTTTTGCTCAAGTTTCTGTGCCTCATTTTTTTAACGAGCTCGTGATGAGCTGTCTGCATGAGTTATCAGAGGTACAGTAGAGGTACAAATCAGGGGGAGAAGTTAGAACAATGTGTAAAACTCTGTAAGTAGCCCTAGTGTCATTGGACCATGAAATTGCCTTATCTTTTCTATCTTCATAATGCCTGGTCTGTAGATTAGCCCAACGGAACAGCAGAGCTCCAAAGCCGAAGAGAACGAAAAAGTGGATTCAAAGATAAAAGCTTTCAAGAAACCATTAAGTGTGTTTAAAGGACACTTACTACATATCAGGTAAAATTTTAAGAATCTATCAGCTATACTTATAGAACAGAGGAGCCCTGGTGGCGTAGTGGGTTACTTGTTGGGCTGCTAACCACAAGGTCCGCATTTTGAAACTATCAGCCACACTTCGGGAGAAAGATGAGGCTTTCTACTCCCATAAAGTAATGGACAGTCACAGAAACCCACAGGGCAGGTCTTCCCTGCCTATCCGGTGGAAGTGAATCAGAATGGACTGAATAGCAGTGAGTGAGTGAGTGAGTGAATGATAGAGTACATCTTGATCATCTCGAGGGAGCTACAAAATTAACAAAATATTTCCTGTGGACTTTGTTTTAAACCGGACAGTAACAAAGCCAGGGGGATCTGATGACTCTGCCTACACTTCCAGGCTAAGCAGCTATTTTTTAGCTTTTGTTCTGTTGTTCCGCTGAGTGTATGGGAAGGGGCTGGCTCTCCCTACATGGCAGGGGATAAAAGTGAATATCTGCATCTTAACAACTGTGAATGCTATGTATTTAACTGAAGACACGTCCCAAACTCAGGTTCCAGCGAGCAGGCCAGGCTGGAGAAGGGAAGGTTCTAGGCCCACTGGTTGGACTTAACCACTCCCTGTTTCTCTCCTCCCAGGGACCTCACAGTGCCTCTCCTGCAGAGACACCTGAGCCAGAATTAAGGCTGTCTCCCCAGAACTCCTCCCAGTTTCTGTGCTGGTTGCCTAGATCAATTTGATGGCCTTGTCCAGACTGGCTTCTAAAAGGCAGCTAGCCACTGTGCCAATTTTCTATCTTGCCCAGAGCTGGGCAGAGCCCTTCCACAAGAACAGCTCCTTCAGACAAGCAGAACTCCTAGGTCAAATGCAGTCTATTGAGAATAGGTGTACTCTATCATTCATTCACTCACTCACTACTATGCAGTCCATTCTGATTCACTTCCACCGATGTCCTCTTTATATGAGCACAGGCCCAATCCTTTCCATTGTTCTTGAAAGGATCGGATATAAGGTGGTTCATGTGATCAAGCCACTCAAGCTTTGCCCAAGTCAGTGAAAGTTTATGCTAGGTCCTGGTCCTGGCTGTGACCAAGTGTAAGAAATTGTGGCTTTTGAAGTTGGTTTTGTTATTGGACAAGTTCTTCCTTACAGTTCTCACCGCAAATTTTATTTCCGTGTTTATTCCTCGCCTTCACCACTTCTAAGAAAATGCCTGAACATAGGTCCTGAGAAGTGTCCTGTCATTTAAATACATCTCTACTGGCTTTGCCTTATTAAAATTTACTCCTGTTCTATTGGTGTATAAAAATGATAGCCCATTCTATTGTACTGGTAATGATAAAGCTCAAACCTTAGGAACGGACACTTGTGAGGATGGCACAGAACCAGGCAGTGTTTTGTTCTTTTGCACAGAGTGCCATTGTGAGGCAGAACCAACTTGGTGTAACATATCAACTAAGGTTGAAGGAAGCATTATCTTTGCTTTTCTTTTGATCTGTTACCTTCCTGAAAAATGTCCATCGCTCCACCGTCAAATTGTGCTGAGTATAGCCCTAATTCAGAAGCTTCTCTCTTCTCTGGGATTTTGCTTTTGATCCAGGGAAAAACCATAACACAAGCTAACAAAATCCATTCCAACTCATAGAGACGCCTGCAGGAGGGAGTTGATCTGCCCTTTGGGTATCTGAGGCTATAAATTTTACCAGGAACAGAACCCTCATCTCTTTCCCTTGGAGCGGCTGTTGGGTTTGAACGGCTGACCTTGCAGTTAGCGCCCAACACATAAACCCCTACCCCTCCTTGGGGAAATCCATAGGACTTCTTAAATAGCATGTATCGAATCAATACATTTAAGGCACAAAGTATACTAGGGATTAACTGCATTGTCTTTTTGATGATGGGCTCTCTTTGTCCAAATGCACAGAAAATGTGAGTGTACTATTTTCCTTCAGGCTTAGTTTTTGTTGTCATTAATTCTGAGTAATACATATGCTTTATGCTTTGGTCTTATCACAGCCCAGCCGAGGAGCTGTATTTTGGAACTGCAGAATCTGGGGAGAAGAAAACGTTAATAGTGTTGACAAATGTAACTAAAAATATAGTGGCATTTAAGGTAAATATTTACAGATGACTGTGATGATAATAAACAAATTATGGGTGCAGATTTTAGATGCATAATTGAAAGAAGTATGATTTTGAAATGGAGCCGGATTTTTATTTCTGTTTCAGGCATGTTGCCTTTCCTTCTAGTTCCAAGCACGTGGCATCGTTTCTCTCGAAATGTCCCTGGAATCTGTGTCTCCATCTTGAATGTGCCAGAATAAGCCAATGTCCAAATTGACCCCAAGGTTTCAATGGTTGCTGTAATTAAAAACCCAAGAGAAATTCTTCCTCATAGTATGAATAATTGAATACCTAATAACAGTGAAAGATAAAATTCTAAAATCAAAAGTGCCAAGTGTGGTATATTCTAGAGCAGCAGTTCTCAACCTGTGGGTCACCACCCATTTGGAGGTAGAAGGACCCTTTCACAGGGGTCGCCCGATTCATCACAGTAGCAAAATGACAGTGATGAAGTAGCAACGAAAATAATTTTATGGTTGGTGGGTCACCACAACATGAGGAACTGTATTAAAGGGTCGTGATATTAGGAAGGTTGAGAACCACTGAACTAGAGGATCGCTGAATTTGAATATTAACCCAATGCTGAGGGACCGTAAACAGTTACAGTCTCAGAAACCCACAGGGAGTCGCTATGAGTCAGCACTGACTCGATCGCAGTGAATTTAGTTTTTTGAGTTTATGCATTAAAGTGGCTAAGAAAGAGGCTCCCCTGGCAAGTCCTCTCCATGGTGTAGCTAGCGCTTCCTTAACTGTTTAATTTAGAATGATCCACTAGAATCTTCTGGGTGTGTGTCATTTGAGGGTCTGCTTTTTTTTTTTCCCCCCTGAACACTTATTGCCACAGGTGCTCAAGTGAACACTCGGTTCTCTGCATCTGTATGATTCAATTTAGGCAATTAACAGGATGAATATTTAACACTTGGATCAATGTGCTGCTGGCAAGGCTAAGTGATAATTGACGTTACGAGTAGCTTCCATAAATTGGTGGAGAGACCTTTTTTTTTACCTCTTGGTGGGAGGGGCATATAGTCCATGTTCAAAAACCAATGAAATTGCTGCATTTAACTGTTTGGACCTTGATAATTAATTGCTCTTTTGAAAAATCATCTTAGAGTCATTTCCGCTCAAAATACACAGGTGAGGACGACTGCGCCAGAGAAGTACAGGGTCAAGCCGAGCAACAGCAGCTGTGAACCTGGCGCTTCGGTTGATATAGTTGTGTCTCCCCACGGGGGTGAGTTGCATGAAGCCCACTAAAGGGTGTCGTGAGGGGGCAGGAGCCTGGGACAGGGAGAAGTGGGCTCAAATTTAGACATTAAGGGAAGATCGGCAAGCGGCCTCAGCTCACTACTCATCTGCTGTCTCCAAGGTCAAACAAGATGGTCTTGGGAGTCTCTCCAGCCCTTTCCAACATTCAAATGTAATTGTTCTGGAACAACTAAGTTGGCTTAAAACGATCCTGTTTGAAAGTGAATATCCAAAGAGCAAAATGAGGAATCATTCTTTTTCCGAAGAAAGCTTGCCTTTTCCCAGGCAGCCCCATCCTTTCCCTGCCTTTCCTAGCCTGATGTCTTCAGCCAAGCACCGGACCCTTTAGAAGGGTCCCCCGTGTATTTGATGAATGCCCCTTTTGGAATGCAGGTCTAACCGTCTCTGCCCAGGACCGCTTTCTGATCATGGCCGCAGAAATGGAGCAGCCATCTGGCACCAGCCCTGCCGAGTTGACGCAGTTCTGGAAAGAAGTTCCCAGAAACAAAGTGATGGAGCATAGGTAGGCTTTCGGCTCTGCAGAATCAACGGGAGATGTGTCGAGCTGGGCGAGGCAGGCATTTCAGGGTCTAGTGTGCCCTTGAGGTCTGCCAGGCTCTGGGCAGAAGCCAGGCTGCAGGCCAGTACAAGACCCTAACTACTCCAACTTCCAAGTGCAGATCTCTTGTCCCTTCAGTCGCCCTGTGGGAATGCTCACCTTGTCTGCCAGGATGTTTGGGATAGTGGGAACTGGCAAAAAGGAGCCTCAGTGATGGCTAGGATAGCAATCGTGCTCTATAGCCGTTGAAAAGGGTGAGGACCATCTGTTTAATCTGAGCTGGAAAGATGTCTATGATGCATTATTAGATAGAAAAGAGGTTTTGGCCTCCAAAAAAGATATATGACATTTGACACTCACCTACTTCATTGGAGGAAGGCCAGAGCATGTAGGTACATGCATATATGTGTGTATATGCATGTATGTGTGTCAGATACTGATCGGTGCCTTAAACGCTGCACAAAGAACAAGTGGACTGAGGAAGAGTATGTGGTGTGGTTTTGTTTTACGTGGTGAAGTGTTCTTGTTGTTTATAGCATTGGCCTTCAGATGGGTTGGGGATGGAGAATACCCCCAGGGGACTTTGACCATGATGTTTTTAGTTGTCACAAGTGGGAGAAAATGGTGCCACTGGCATCGAGTGGCTAGAGGCCAGGGAGACTGCTCAACCTCCCAGAATGCACTTGCCGTAGCCACCGCAGGATTGCTCAGTTTAGCAGGTCAGAAATGTCACAAATGACAAAACCTCTAAGGCAGTGGCTCTCAACCTGTGGGTCACAACGCCTTTGGGGGTCAAACGACCCTTTCACAGGAGTCGTCCGATTCATCACAGTAGCAAAATGACAGTAGTGAAGTAGCAACAAAACTAATTTGATGGGGGGGGTCACCACCACATGAGGAACTGTATGAAAGGGTGGTGGCATTAGGAAGGTTGAGAACCACTGCTCTAAAGGATAGTTAAGGAAGGCCACTCTAGGATATCTGAACCGAAATTGAAGGAAACAAGAGAGCGAGCCCCCTAGATAACTGAGAAAACCTTTCCCCAGGTGGAGGGGGACAAGAAGTGTACTTAGTGGATGTGGAAAACAGCAGGAAGGTAGTTCAAGTGGGTAAGAGAGTGTGGTGAGAGGTGAAGCCAGGAGGTTATAGGGAGGCAGATCATGGCCTAAGCGAGGGCTTTTATCTTTGAATAAAAGGAACAACTATTAGAGGGTGCTAGGCAGCACTTCATGGTGACTTGTTATTTTTGTAAAAGATTGTTCTGAAGCCTGTGTGCAAACACAGGGAGCCGGTCCAGAGGAAGGCAGCAAGGGCAGCGAGAGGCCTCACTATGGCTGACTGTGGGGCAGTCACCCGAGTTCGTGACATTCATGTGCCCGTGCGGCCTAAAGTAGCCTGCTGAGGTGGGTACTGTGTGCACCCGTAGTTTGTAGAAGACACTAGAAAACTAGCTGGGCATGGCTGAAGGAGCTGCAGGTCTCAGTCCCCAAACCGTGGGGAGGCACTGATCTGACTGGAATTGCCCTGGCCAAGGTCACACTCCCACTGTTGACCTGATGAGAACAGAAGTAGGCCCAGGGAGACTATTTCCCTTGCTCCCCCTGCAAGGAGGGATACAAGTTGGGCCAAGCCTGGAGAATAATAAATCCACCAAGTAGTGAAGTTATTCTGTGGTGACTGCCCTCTAAGAGGGAGATCCCTGCACAGAGGCGGGGCATAATGCTGCCCTGAGGCCAGGAAGGATGAGGGTGGGCATTGGCCAGTGGTGTTGACACCAGAAAGGTGATCGATGATATTGTGGGGAGCGCTTTGGCTGGAGCCAATGCTAATAGCTATCCAGAAGCTACCTAGATAGGAGGAGGAAAGTTGATGCAGGGGCTCAGCCTGTGGAGGAGGACTTAGGGACAGCTTGGAAGGAGGACAGGCTTAGGATGGAGCTTTAAGAAGACATTGCTTTGGTTCTGGTTTGCTAATAGGAGAAATTTGAACATTGTTTAAAAAGCCAGTAGCAAGGATCAGTTGGTGAGAAGAGGTGGAATATAGCAGATAGACAAAGGGCAGTGCAGTGCCTGGGAGGGGTGGGGAGAATGGCCAGAGCCTCAAGGGATGGAAGGACAGAGTGTTACACAGTAGGCAAGTCTGGGCTGGGCTGGGCTTTTTAAAAATGGAATATGCTCACCCCTCAATTGGAGAGGTCAATTATAGGAGAGCCTACTTCTGGCTTTTATCAAGCGGTTACTGTGGGAAGATTGTAGGTTCACAGACACCGTCCCAAGCGACACTGACTTGACACTGAGTGTAATTCCTGGGAAGGAGCTTGTGGAGGCCAGCCACAGCTTGGCTGGGGCTGCCTAACTTAACCAACTCAACAATGCCAATCAACAGCAAATGCTGACCGCTAGTTAGACGTTTCCCCTTTCCTGAGAAAAGTGAGAATCCCCTTCAGATTTCTTTCTGTTTCCTATACTCCAGTGCTTGACAGATTTTTTTATTTTGTTTTGATTTTCTATTTTACTTTTTCTTTTTAAAGGTCAGTCACATAACCATTTTTTAAAGTGATGTTTACTTTGGATTTTGATAGATTGAGATGCCATATTATTGAAAGCAGTAAACCAACCACTCTTCCTTTAAAAGATGGTGCTCTTAACATGGCAGATAAAACCTGGGAAGATATATGTCTGCAGGTAAGAATCCATGCTGCCTACAGACAGCAGGTTTGGGAGTGCAAATCTGTGGTCTTCTTTGTGGAGGGAAGGCAACTCAGAAACAGCAAGTGCTGCGTGAGACATTTGGAGATTTTCCTTTGGAATAGAGACCAGCGAGAAAGGTCAGGGTGCTTCAGGGAGTAGCCAAGGGTCCCATCTAATGGGAGAGGGGCCAACGGGGTGCATTTAAATGGGAAATAAATGAAGGCATGCCCTTGCTGAGTCTCTTACAGGAGGCCCCAATGATTCAGTAGCTATACTCACAGACAGTGAGGGCTTTGCTCCTTTCACAACTAGAAGTGACCAATTCCCAAAGGAGAGGAAGTGGCGGCCGGGCCACCAAGAAAAACTCCTTCCTGGTTGCATCTCTTGCACCTCCAGCTTGCAGAGTAGAAGGGCCCTATCCTGCAAGTGTTTGGATTTCTCATATTCCCTGTGTGTCGTACCCTTGAGTAATGTACTGTTTTATTAATACACATCTTTCCTCCTTCTTTCCCTCTTTAGCTCAATCGTTTACTAGAAAACAGTAGGAGACTTCAAGATCAAGTTCAGCGCTGCATCTGGTTCCAGCAGCTGCTGCTTACCCTAACTATGCTTTCGCTTGCTTTTGTCATCTCGTTCTTCTACTTGCTGTACAGTTAGAGCAGGTGTGCCCCTGGTAGGCAGCGTGGCTCCCCCATTTGAGCACTGGAACAAGAACAAAAGGAAAACCACTCCACTTGGAGTCCTAGAAAGGGGTTATGCGTTGCTTATGATGAGGGGAAGAGCTGGCCGGCTTACCGAGAAACCCTTAGAAAATGCTGATGAAATCAACTAGCAAGAGATTCAATAGGTAGTAAATAAAGGTATATCCATGGCATAAATTAATTGTTGAAGCATAATTTATATTTATTTTCCTTTGGGGTTTATAAAGCGCTAGCTGAACTGAAAAAAATGTGTAAGTAAAATGCTCTGTGGCAGTCAAAACAAACAAATGAACCCTGCAGTCTGCTCGTTATGATGGAATTATGACAGCTGAGCCTGTGGGCTTGCTTATGTAGGCTCTGTGTATGGGAGAACATGGGTACAAAAGACAGAAGATCAACTTCCACAGAAGCGTGTCTGCAGTCAGGACTTGGTGATTTTGAGGACTCCTTCCAGCTGATAGCCACTATTTTTTGGGAATGTAAAACGCTCTGCTGCCAAACCACCTCTGGCCTGCCTGTCATCCTCAGCGCTCCTTCTCTGCAGGCTGCCTTGGATTCCCCCGGGGCTCTTTTATGAGCACACTTCCTTTTTCCAGAATTTGGAAAAACTGTTTTCTCTGAATTCCTTCTGTGCCATTCCAGCTCCTGCATTGGCCCGCTCTGCTCACCTTGGGAAGAGCCTCCATGCAGACCCTAAGTTGTACTTCTTGACCCTCTCCGTAGCCAAAAGGAACTCGGTTATTTATTTATTTATTTCTGTTGGAATGGGCGTGGCGAGCTCCAGCCCACCAACCTCACTGGCATGGCATCGCTTCCACCTCACAGAGCACTGTAGTTTGTGTCCATTTCCAATCCACCATGAGAAGGAAAGTTAGAAAAAGCTGGAGCATCTCTGTGGCTGCACTCAAACTTGGACACTCAAGGGTCCACTAGTGGCTGAACGATGGAAAATGCTAATTCCTGGAAGGGGGTGGGGTGGATGGTGCTGTGAAACCTTTGAGCACGGGGTGAATTCGCCAGCTTGCCCTTCTGCCTTGGTCGCCATCCTTCCAAATGGCTCCTCACCTCACACGCACACTGCTGGAGCAGGGCCTGGTGAAGTGCGGTTTGTCTAGTCGTCCATTCGTTCATTTGCAGTTCATGCTGACTGAAATGTCAGTCTACTTTATGTCAAAGAAAAAGTCCGCCTGCAAAAGAAGTTTTGCGTTTCCATTGTGCCATGTTCAGAATTCCATTGTTGTCATTATTCTGAGGGTTAGTGTTGTTGGCTTTCCTGTTGAGATTTGGACATTCCGAAGTTGAGCTCTGAGTTCCTGTGACGATAGAAAACCTTAAAAGGACACTGGTCTGGTACTTTGTCTTAATTGGATTGATTTTTCTGTTTCAGTTACCCAACTCCAGATGCGAAACGGACAGCAATCCATCCTAAGTATACTAGCCATCATAATGGCTCCTCGTGTCAGGCAGGGCCCAGCAGCCATCCCTGCCTGGTATGCTAACGTTGGGCCTCTATTAGAATCCAACCCCAAGTCTTTGTGTGTGTTCTTTGTTCCTCCACAAATAAATGAGGAAATAACTCACAAGATTGGAAATTTGTGGTCCTAACAGTGTCCTTTTAATGTTTCACATGGAAATTCTGTGGGCGTTCTAACATAGCCTGGCTTGATGTCTTATTCCTCCTTTACGACTGAATTTAATAACATGTCTCTTGTGAATGTCAGTCTGTTCAATGTGACTAGGCAGAATTATTGACAATTAACGATAAAGTGAAAGACAGACATATAACTACTTTTGTTCTTGTCTGGATTAATAATATATATTTACCTTTGAGTCTATTCTCTCCATTTGATTTTATTTAATCATACTTGTATGGTGATTTGGGGGAACTCTACAGTTTGTGTTTTGATTATTAAGGATTTTATTATTAATCTTGTCATTAGCTGTTCATGACCAAATTACCAAGGACCAAGCTTTAGATTTAGATTTTCGTTTTCACTTGGGAATAGAAATTGATTCTCCTTGAAAACATTAATGAACTATTATAAAATTGGTCTGCAAGTAGCTTAATGTGATTGCTGGTAAACCTAGCCTCAAATTTCATAATTATACCATAACTGTTTTTATATCTTGCCACTAATTTTGACTGAATTTAATAGCACTTTATTGTACAATTGCAAAAACAAATATATTCCTAGAATTGTTGCCAGTATAATTTCTCTAATGTTCTGGTGCTTTTCATATATTTTCAGTATTTTTATTACTATATTGATATTTTCTTTGTATAAATTGATCAAAAGAACATGTTTTCTATTTTAATAATATGTTTTAGAAAAATAATTACATTTATGAAATAAATCTCATCAGGAAAAAACTGTGGTCTCTAATTGATAAAAAGCATTTAAGGACAGCACTGCCGACTTCCAAAGATGCAGTCCCAGCTCCAGGAAAGCATGCCCTTCCATGGCATTCTCCCTTTCCCCTGAGCCTTGCAGTGGACCTGAGTGTAGTGTGACGGTCGGCTGCTAAACTCAGAACTAGAGCTGCAAGGAGTCAGAAGTGCCCCATGCACTCCAACCCTAATGTCTCCTTCCCTTTCCTGTCTGAGAGGAACATGCAGGAAAGAGATTAGCAAGAACTCTTGCCTGGCTGTGGCATACAAGGAAGTTGGCAGCCTGGCCCTATAAGGAGGCACATAGCTTTACTGAGGGTATGGGTGTTGGGCACTAGGGAGGGACACAAGGCAGCCCAGGATGATCACTGACAGAAAAGGTCCCAGGATTGTTCATGTCTGGTTCCCTCATCACTGGAAGAACTCTAAAGTGGCAGCTACCTCTCAATCAAAATGCAATGGATGGGATAGGCCCAGCGTCAAAACTTTCCTGGTTACACGTATGCTTAGAGGTTAGAACTAGAAATGCCAGATCAAGTACGTAGAGAGTCCAGACAATCGGATAGGCTCACAATGGAGCCAAAAAGACATAACAACCTAACAAAAAGCCCCAATCAGCCAGGGACCTTGAGGTGCAGTGGTCTCCCTAAAAGATAATTTATAGCAGTGGTTCTCAACCTTCCTAATGCCGCAGCCCTTTAATACAGTTCCTCATGTGGTGGTGACCCCTCCAACCAAAGTGTTATTTTTGTTGCTACTTCTTAACTGTCATTTTGCTACTGTTATGAATCGGGCGACCCACAGGTTGAGAACTGCTGATTTATAGGGAACAAGAGCACCTGTGTAGCAGATCTCCATCTAGAGAAGGGCTGGCTATAGCCATCTCAGCTCTTGGCTAATGCTCACCACCAACTTCGTTTCCTGACATCAGAACAAGTGAGCCCCCTCCCCCTTAGAGGGCTCTTCTCACCATAACCCACTTAGTCTAACTGAGACCATGGTAGTTGAGAATGAGGACTCAAATGATTTTGAAGTCCCCCTGTGCAAGTAAGGAAGATAGACTAACCTCTTTCAGCCTCAGTTTCCTCGTTAGTATACTTATTTGATAATCATACTACTACCATGTAGGCTTTCAATGAGGATGCTATGACATGGTGCATTTAAAGCTTCCATGGAGAGGTTGCCCTCACTTTGCCAATAAAATGCCTCCCACCCCCATTCTGTCTCATCTACCTTTAGCTTGTTCCACTTGGGTTGATCTTGAATCATCCATTCTGTCCAAAGCCAAACATCCCTCTTCCCTGCTTTGTATTCCTATCATGGCCTTGGAAATTCATGGGATAGAGGTAGAAGGCTGGTGATAATGGGCCACACTTAAGCACCAAGGAAGGCCTGGTGGGATGCTTCCTGACTCCAGGGTGCATACAGATCCCCAAAGAGCACGCCATGCACACATATCAACCTTGTAGGTTCCACTCATAGTTTCCCTTGAACACTGTAACAATTCCATAAAATGATCACCCAGGTTCTTTCACCTCGGCATCTCTCTTTTGTCTTCCTGAGCAAAAACAAAAACCACCCTATAACTTCGGACTTTTGTTCATACCATCTTCACCTGCCTTCTGCCCTCTGCTGCACAGAGTAAGAAGAGTACTATCTCTTCCAAGTGTTCAACTATTTAAAAAGAATTGTGATTTAAACTAGGAAAGAACATAACATCTCTGTGGCCTGTAGTGGTAAGATATGAGGGTAAGTAAAAAATTATTTGCTACAAAATTACAGCATGCTTTATTAGAAATATCAGAATGTGAAATTTGTTTCTTGATGTATCCTTCATCTAACTAACATTTTTGAAAAATCTATTCCTATATCCTTAACCCTTCCCTAAAGAATTATGCACATTTTCATTTACATATGTCCAATGACAGCTTTGGGATTCAAATCATCCTTTTGTATGTTCTTTGAGTTCGAGAGCAAAAAGAAGTCTGAATGGGGCAAGATCGGGGCTATGGGGTTGAAGGGGTAATGTTTCCCATCAAAATTCCCATAGGACAGTCCTTGATAACCCTGAAAAATGAAAAGGTACATTGTGATGGCACAACTTTCCTGGTCTTTTTCTCATACGTTTTTTTTGTGTGTTCATAAAACTTCCTTATAAGCCCCATGACCATCCTGTGTCATTCAAGATCTATGACAATAACTTCTTTGGAATTCATAAAAGTTCGCCAGAGCCTTCTACGCTGACCTCTCTGCCATGAATGTCACTGACCCAGCAGATCCGCTAAGAAGTCGCTCTGTTGATTGATTGAACCCCTTTTTTTTAAAAGCGTACTAATAAGTGAAAACAAGTGTGTGACAGAATTTGCAGCCATATGCTGATTGGCTCATGGCACAGCCCTGTTCAAACACGTTTTGTTTGAAATAAACCTGTGTGTGTACATATTGGAATCTAGTAGGCATCTTTTCTCTCTCCCTCCCTCCCTTTCTTCCTTTCTTTCCTTACCCTCCTAGGTGCACATTGCATGTCCTACTAGAGTGCAAATTTGAGGTTGGTACATTTTCAAAACACCTTTGGCCATATGAAAGTGACCTCCTGTCTTATTCCAAAGCTCCACCCCACATTCAGGGGTAGGGTATTCTGGAGGGGGGGTGTTGGGTGGGACCTTCAAGCTCATCCAATTAAAACCCCTCCTCATCTTCCAGACCAGGAAACAGGCTTAGAAAACAAGCTCACCTTGCCCAGGCCTACTGAAGACTGGCTTCACAGATGTTCTTGACTAGAAAGATGAACTAGACCTGCATTAATTTAAATGCTGAATGGCAGGCGTGAGGAACTGTCCACCTCTACCTCAGATGGCTTTCTCCAGTCTCACAGCTTCGGTTCACACAAGTACTCAACCTGGTATAAGTAAATTGCTAAAGAAAAGTATGTACCATGGTTTTAAACATTCGTTCAATCATACACGCACTTGAGATTTTCACAATGCATTCACGTACTAGAGCAAAGGGCACTTCCACTAATTGTGGCTTTTGGTAAAGGAAACACTCATGGAAAACAGTTTGCTTTTTTCACTTTCCTGTTTTAGAATAATCCATTCTTTGAAGGTAGTTTATTTAACATCATTTTCTTGGATGATAAAATGCCCTGTGGAAGTGGCTAAATGAAAAGGTTAAAACGGGAGAGAGAGAGAGAACTTTTCCTAATGTGCTTGATATGATTGATGTATGGGTTTTATAAGAGCTATAGGAGCCCCCAATAAAAATGATTTATTAAAATCAAAAAAGAAAAGTTATTTTCCTACAGAGACCTGTATCACAAGTACCAACATTTATATGGTCCAATTTATTTTGGCTCAGATTACAATGACTTGGGTTCTATTATTCCAGAAAGCCCCCTGTACATTTCTAGGTCTTTCTAGAGCTATAGTGTATGTATGTGTGTTGGAAAACTTGCTGATACCCTGTTGGAAAAACTCCAGGATCTCCTAGTTCATTTTTAAAGTCATCCCAAACTGCCCCCCACAATGTCACACTCTTTTTCGCACTGCTCTGTATAGTTTCTTCCAACATAGATTTGTTTGTTCTTTTGGCAGTCCATGGTATTTTCACTATTCTTCACTAGCACCACAATTCAGATGCATCAATTCGTATCCTCCTTATTCAATGCCCAACTTTCACATGCATATGAAGTGATTTAAAATACCATAGCTTGGGTCAGGAGCACCTTAGTCCTCAAAATAACAACCTTGCTTTTCAACACTTTAAAGAGGTTTTGTACAGCGGATTTACCCAATGCGAGTAAATTTTTGCTGAAGATCATTCACTAACAGTTGCAGCAGTACTTTGACAGTGGCTGCCAGAGGTTCAGGCCTGATTCAGAAAAGGATGTGGAACAAGGGATCCCATTACTGATTTAGATGGATCTTGGCTGAAAACAGAGAATTCTTTTTTCTTCCTTCTCATTGTCCAGCTTTCACACGGATGTAAGGTGATTCATGACTTGGGTCAGGTGCACCTTAGTCCTCACTGAACTCACTGCCGCCTAGTCAGTGTTGACTCCTTGTGACCCCCTTGGAGTTTCTGAGACTGTAACTTTTTTTTAATTGATCATTTTATTGGGGGATCTTACAGCTATAACAATCCATAAAACAATCCATAAAACATCAGGCAAACTTGTACAGATGCTGCTATCATTATTTTCCAAACATTTTCTTTCTACTTGAACCCCTTGATCTCAGCTCCTCTTTATTCCCTCTTCCCCCACCCTCCCATCCTCATGAACCCTTAATCAATTATATATTATTATTTTCATATCTTACGCCGTCCTATGTATCCCTTCACCTACAGTTGTTATTCGTCCCCCTCAAGAGGGGGTTGGTTACACATCTATCATTGCTCCCAGTTCCCCCTTCTCTGTCCTTCCTTCCTGTACCCTCACTGAGCTGTTACTGCCATTAGTGCTTCTGAGGGATTTATCTAGATTTTCTGTGTTGAAAGCTCTTATCTGTACCAATGTATATACACCAGTCTAACAATTTGTGAGGTTGAACTGGGGCCGTGATAGGGAGGGAAGGAAGCATTAAAGAACTAGAGCAGCAGTTCTCAACTTGTGGGTCCCAATGCCATTGGGGGTCGAAGGAGCCTTTTACAGGGGTCGCCCGATTCATAACAGTAGCAAAATTACAGTTATGAAGTAGCAACAAAAATAATTTCATGCTTGGGGGTTCACCATAACATGAGGAACTATATTTAAGGGTCGCAGAAGGTTGAGAACCACTGAACTAGAGGAATGTGTTTCCTCGGTGCTACACTGCACCCTGGATGGGTCGTCCCTTCTGTGAGGGAGTTTCCAATTATCATCAGATGGGCTTTGGGTCTCCACTCTGACCCCTTTCCTTCACAATG